GGGCGGGACCGCGACAGAGCAGGGGGCAGGGCCGGTGTGCATGCAGGCTAGGCAGGCGCTGGCAGGTGTCGCTTGGATTACGCAGCAGCGGCCGAGGGAGGCTGCCGTCGAGCCTGTACGGCATGGCTGCAAGAGTAGCACGTGCCATCATACACACGCATGCAATAACTAACACACACACACACACACACACACACACACACACAAGCGTGCGCAAACACACACAGGCGCAGGCACGCACACACATACACCCAAACGCCCCGTGCCCATTCCACCAGGTGGGGGACATTCTTGATCGCGGGGACCACGAGATACCTATACTTTACTTCCTGGAGGGCCTGCAGCAGCAGGCCGCTGCAGCCGGCGGCGCACTGCACGTGCTCAACGGCAACCACGGTGCGGGGCTGGAGAGGGGCGCCCGGCTGGGGGGTGCGCTCGGCCGCGCGCAGGTCGCCGCAGCCAGCTGCAGGCCGCGGCTGTTGCCTGGACACAGAAACGTCAGGGTTGCCCGCCTGGCGTAGCAAAGCGTGCGGGCTGACGAACATAGTGGGGCAGCGCCCCACGTTAGCACTCTCAAACGTATGTGTATCACCCGTGCCCTCAGAGACGATGAACGTGGGCGGCAACTACCGGTGAGGGCGTGGCGGGGGGGATCTCGGGAGTCATAATGGCCTGGGCATCGGGGTCTCGGCATGGCGGTGTGCTGGGCGCTTCGGCACAGAGCGCCGAGCGGTGCCTGGCCGTCCCCACACTCTGCGGTTCCGACCTGCAGGTATGCAACGGCCGGCGCGGACACTGAGATGGCGTCGTGGGCGGCTTGGCAGGTGGGGAGCTTGGTGGGCCCTAGGGTGTCCTGCAGACCACTCGCCTCTGCTTGCTCTCTTCCACGGCGCCGCAGCTGTGCTTTGTCTGCCGGCAAGCCAGCAGCGATGCCGTCTCAAGTGCGCCTGGCGCCTCAAAACCCCGCCCGCGCAGCTGCTCGGAGACCGCCTCCGGCGCCAGTGCGGCTGCGGCAGCGCGTTTGGGGATGACGAGGCAGCCGCCGCCGCTGCTGTGGAGTTTTCAGCGGCTCACTCGGGCGACGTGCCCGCCGGCGGCGGCGCCCGTGCGGCACAATACAACCCGCTGCGGCGCGCGGCGCTGCGCCCGGGTGGGCCCCTGGCCCGGCGGTTCTTCGCGCGCCACCCCACTGTGCTGCAGGTGTGTGGCAGCGCACACGCGCCTTGCTGTTTTGCCGGCATGCAGGGCGGTCGCTCGGGCAATCCAGGGCGTGCCTTGCGTCTCGCGCACGTGCCTTGCCTTTCGTCCGCGCGGCCTGCCCGCAGGCTTTGTTACCCGCAGTCTCTCCCGCCGTCACCCCCCGCCAGGTGGGCAGCACGCTGTTTGTTCACGGCGGCGTCCTGCCACCCCACGTGGAGTATGGGCTGGGCCGCATTAACGACGAAACGCAGGCCTGGCTCATGGGCGGCTCCCCGCACGCGCACAGCGGCGCTGGCAGCTCTGGGGCCACAGGCGCGGCGGCGGGCGGCGGCGCTGCGGAGGGCAAGCAGGGCGGCAGTGGTGGCGGCGCAGCAGCAGGAGCAGCAGGAGCAGGGACAGCGGGCATTTGGTCTTGGTTTGGCAGCAAGTGGAGGGGCACCAGCAGCCAGCCTGTTGCCGCCGCGACGGCTACCAGCGCCGCGGCAGCCCTGCAACAGCAGCAGCAGCGTCAGCGGCCACACCCGCACACGCCGCCAGCATTCTTGCGGGGCGCTCACGCAGTGGTCTGGGCGCGAGACTACTCTGCGCGGGACGAGGCTCGCTGCGACTGCGAGATGCTGAGCTCTGTGCTTGAGGCGGTGCCGGGCGCCAAGCGCATGGTGGTGAGCTGCGGCAGGCAGCCGGACGCTGGGAGTGGCCAGCAGGGGCCGCGGCGAGCCCTGCTGGGCCATGCAGCCTGGTGTGACGCCAGGCTGTCTGCCTGAGCCTGGGCTCGGCCCCCCACATCCAGGGCTGGGCATCGCGCAGCCAGAGCAGGCGCGGCTGCTCGCTCGTGAGCGGTGCCTGCGAGCCGCATGCGGTTGGCCCGCCACAGTGTGCAGCTGACGATGAGTTTCGCCGTACTCTGGAGCAGTGGTAGCCGCGTTGATGCGTGACACGCTTGCGGGCGCCTCACCCCCACTTGTCCAGCATTCCCGATGGCGCCGCCTCCCGCCCTCGGCAGGTGGGCCACACCATCCAGGAGGGCGGCATAACCTCAGCCTGCGGCGGCCGCGTGTTCCGCGTCGACGTGGGAATGTCCAAGGGCTGCGGCGACGGCGAGCCCGAGGTCCTGGAGATCCTGTCAGATCGCGTGGTGCGGCGGCTGACCGAGGACGGGGCGCCCGAGGTTATGGGCGGCGCGCCGGCCCCGGCCGGCCAGCCGCATCAGCCGCACCACCTGACCGGCCCCGCGGTGGACACGCCGGCTGGCGCGTGGGGCGAGGCGCTGCAGCGGCTGAGGGGGGCGTTTGGGGAGGGGCTGGGGCGGGTGCGTGCAGCAGATGGGCACGGCGGCGGCGCGGCAGCGGGGGTAGGCGAGGTACGGCAAGAGGAGGCACGTGTGCGGCGGCCGACGCCTACATAGGTAACATGGTGCCGCACAAACACGCCACGTGGCGTGGGTGGCCGACATACCGACAGCAAGCAGGCCCTATCACCGAAGTTGCACATCGGTCACACCAACCAAAGCACGAGGTGCACAAAAGCACCCCAGAACTGTGCACACGCCGCAGTGGCCCTGACTTTTGAACTTGCCAGCACGCTACCGTAGAGCAGCCATAAACTTCCCGAGAAGTCAGCACGCATGTTGGCGCCAGCAAGGTAGCGTGGCGCCAACTTGGCGCCTGAACTGTCGGTCTGCCGCTGGCGCTGCGCTCATTTGACTTGTGAGTGGACTCCCGCGGCCGCAGTGCCATGCGTGCAGAGTCGTACCCTTTCTAGAGTCGTTACCCGGTGTCTACAAGGCCGTTGACAGATCTGATCGCGTTGATCAAAAGCAGCAGCAGCACGCGGGCCCCTCTCGCCCTCTTTCCGCTAGCCTGCAACATTTTTGAGGCTTCTTTTACGCCTGGTCGCAGCGGCTGAGTGACTTGGCGCAGAGGACGCGGCAGCTCCTCTTGTGTGCACGTCCGAGTGAGCGTCGACTCGCATCCCTGCCGACTCGCAGCAGCACAACCACAACGAAATGATTGTACTGCCAGCCTCGTCGTCGCTGGGGGCGGCGACGTCGGTGGTGGCGAGCGGGTGCGGGTCCAGCGTTTTTTCCCTTGCATCATCGCCGCCGTTGGGCGCAAGCCCGTCGCGTGCTCATGCGCTCCATGTAAGCGCGTCGACCTGCTGCCCCCCCAAGAGTGGCACACGGGCCAGCGGCAGCGCGACGCGGTTTGCACCCGTGCTGTCCAAGTCGAAAGCGAAGCGCGGACGGCGGCGCAGCGCTGGGGGCGGCGACGACGGCAGCGGCGGCGACGATCCATGGGATGGCGAGTGGTTTTTCAACGGCCCTTGGGACGGCCTTGACGACGTAAGCAGCGGCGGGGCCGGCGGCGGAACCGACGGGCGCGGCCGATACGGCGGCCGTGGCGGGGGCGGGGGCGGCAGCTTTGGCGGCGGCGGCGGCGGCGGGTGGTCGTCGGATCGCAGCAACAGCGAATTCGGCGACTGGGGCCGGGCGGTCGTGGGCGCTGAGTGGCTGTGGCAGGCCTTGTGCGCCGCGTCGCTGCTGCACAGCATGTTTTTCATCGTCTTCCCTGACAAGCAAGTGCAGCCGGCGGTGCCACCGTTTTCTACGCGTGCCCATGGCGAGGGCCTCTGCTGACGCGGCCCCGCTGCCCTCTTCAGAACACGGCGGGTGGCCACCCTTTGGCGGCACGCCACCCGTTCTTCACTTTGCGACCCTATGCGCCAGCGCCGCTTCTTTGCGCGCGTGCAGCGGTGTGTACCACTAGAATCGCGTTGTTGTACCCAGCAAGTGTCTTCATCCTTTTGCCCCGCTGCCCTGTTCCCCTGGCTCTCGTGTATCGAGTGAAAACCACTGAGCTTTGCTCCGCCCAGTTGTGCCGAAAAAGGCACCTGGCCCAACATCTTTTTTGAAGAAGGGCGTACCCGGCTCCATGCTGTTTTGGGGGGCCCCTGCCCATGTGGCGGTTTTGCGCTGGTTTCCCGACCCTGCTTTGTACTCTACTGTAAACAAAAGCCTCGCGTTTCGCTTGGCCCATTGGTGAAGATTACGGAAGGTGAAGGGATGAAGGATTTTGGTTTCTGGCCTTGGCCAGCGGACAGTCGCTGGAAGGCATGCAGGTTTCAAATGGTGGGTTAGCGCAAGTCGCCACACAGCCTATCCCTGAAAAAAATACACCCAGATGTTGGAATCAGGCAAAGCAGGGGCAAAGACCCAACTTCATAAGGGGCTCCTTGGCCGAAGGGTCGTGTGGACTGCATACAATGAATGGTGTACGTAAAGTATGGAGGTATGGCTGCACCGCTGCTCTGCACCGCGCTGCCTGGCCGCACCGCGCGCCTGGCGCGTGCTGCTCACCGGCGCCCATTGTGCATGACAACAGCGCAGCAGGCGAGCACCACACACAGGTGCACTGCTGAAGCCCGGGTGGCGTGCCTCCACCAACGCATGGCCACAGAACCAGACACAGACATCAGAGGGAATACTGGCGCTGACGGTGCATGCTTGGGCAGTTTGGGGACGGCAATGCTGCCAATGCCGCCTTGGGCGGCCCGAGCAGCAGCTGCAATTATGCAGCGGCTTTGGACACGGGGCTGACCTTGGGACGTCTGGGAAAAGGTGATGTGGCCACGAAATGTGCGATTGCTTTGGGAGGCATGGCAGCAGCAGGCGCCTGCACCACAGGGGATGCCTTTGCTTTTGACACCGTTGCCGTGAAAGAGGGTTTGGCCACAACAGCAGCCGTGGTGCGAGCTGATTGATTAGGAGGGCCGCTGGCTACAGCCAACTCCGCTGAGGCTTTGTGGCTGCCATTCCCACCAATCAGCACCGCAGTAATGTTTGCGCTGGTGGGCGGGCGAGGCGAGCTGGCCGCCACAGCCGTGCCCCTCTCCAGCACGCCTGCCCCGCTCCGCACGGTCAACCCCTGCAGCCCGGCGGGCAACAGCCCCGCCACAGGTGCTGGGCTGGGCAGAGGAAGGATACGAGCGTACAGCCAGTTGGGCCCGTTGTACCGATTCGCTGCTGCTGAAGGTTGGGTGCACACGACTTGAAGCAATGAGGAGAGCTGCGAGAAGAAGGGGCTGCGGGCCCAGTCCAGCTGGCCACCAAATTGGAAGCCCCTGGACGCGTCAGACCTGCAAAGAAGTTGTCGGTAGCTGCACGAGTTCAGCAAATTCCAGCGGTGCTGCTGGTAAAGGTGCACTAAGGTATTTCAGGATCACGCAATCAGCCTCTCAATCCTCACCAGATGGACATTATGAAATGCATGGGCTTGTTGGGTGTGGTGAAGTTGTCAACCCCAAACTGCTCTCGATACAGCAAGGCACCATCAAGGTACCTGGGTGTTGCAAAATGTGTGTTTGCATGCGGGATGTCGAGTGTTTCTTCCCCTTGGGTGCATGAACCAGTGTGTGTGTAGCCAGCATCTGCACCCCCCCCCCTCTTATACAAGGGCATGGACATTGGCTTTGGCCTGTGCTGCTGACCAGGAGACGTAGCCCGGCTGCCAGTCCACGGCATGTGTATGCATCTCTTGTCCGATTGTGGCGCTGCGCCCCGTGAGTTTGGTGTAGCTGCTGGGTGGAAAGCGGCGCTCCGCTTGGCTGATGGCGGAGTGGTACGAGTGGAGCCAAATGGTGCCCGCCTCTGTTGCAGGGTGGCCATTGATGAACTCAAAATCTGGAACGGCGTGGTGAGCGTAAGCAAAGGGTCAGCTGCATGTGTCCAAATCGTTGGGAGGGGCCCGTTTATCGCCAGAGTCAAAACAGTGACGCAAGGCGGTCATGCGAGCAGCCACCGGAAGGAAGCCACCTCGTGGCTTTCGTGACGGCGCACCTATCTCCTCAAAGGCCTCGTAACTTGGATCATTTCTGTCCGATCGCAGCTGTGGTTCACCATTGAAAGGACGATACACACTTTGAGTGGCATGGCACTGCCCAACTACACAGGCAGGGGCCACCCTGGTGAGGCATGCAGGAGATCACTTCTCCAGACGCACTGCAGGTTTCCTGGCCAGGGCGTCTCGTGGCGCAGCCACAGCCTTCACCTCCCAAAGCTTGTTGCAAACCAAGCTGCTGACCTCACTTCTCAACAATGCGCGCCCCCTGCCCCGGCAGCTTGCTCACATATGCAGCCGTGATGACGCCGGGCATCTCGCTGATCCGGGCCTTGAAGCTAAACATGCCAAACAGCTGGCTCTGCCTCGCAGCCACCCGCACACCGTCTGCGCCGCGCATCCTCAGCACCAGGGTGTCGCCACTGCCGTCAAACAGCGCATTTTCAGCGCCGTACGCTGCCTCAAACGTGTCCCAGTCCAGGGACATGCGGCGAACGCTGCACTGCTCGTTTGCGAGTGAGTGGGTGTAGAACACCGGGAGCGCCACAGCCACCGCACCCTCTACACCCGTTGGGACGGCTGCTTCGCAGGCGTCATCTGGCAGCAAGGCGCTGGGACTGGGGACTGCTGCGCCGCACGCGCATCTGAAGGCTGGGGTGACGGTGTAGAGTGGCATCCGCCGCCAGCGGCAGAAGGGCAGGCACTTGGCCGCCGTCGCGGGCGCAAGTGCGGCGGCGCCAGAGAGGTCCATGGTGAGTGCCGATGCGTTGAAGCACCCCAGGTATGCTCCCTGGGCGGCGCGCGCCTTGGTTGCGTCATAGCGAGCTGTCGCAGCGGAAGCCGGCGTAGCCACCAGCAGTACCACAATTGTCAGCAGCAGCATACTTGGCAGGTATGGCTGGGGGGTAACTTGTAATCAGATGGTGCACAAACAATGACATATGCTACGTGCTTTCAGGTTCGTTGAGTTACGACTCCGCAATACTAGCGTGGCGGATGGCTCCCGGGACTCTTCGTGAGCAGAGCGCGTGTTGGATATCAGACTTTCGGTGAGAGTAAGCACAGGTAATGTGTTTATCCACGTGTTGTACCTGCTCACCATGTCTCGACCCCCACCTGCAGGCTGGAACTGGCGGCACGGGCAGCTGCACCCTCAGGAGCCTTTATCGCTGGCCCCAAGCTTTTGCTCTCAACAACGATCAACGAAGGCCTTGTAGTTGCCTTGCTGCATATGTGCGTGAATGAAATCGCATAGGACAGAAAACCCCAACAGTTGCAACTTACACAGCAGCAACCAAAGCACGTGCAAATTGCGTGCTTGACAAAGAAGACGTAAACGCCTGGACTAAACTGAACTTGCCGCTGGCCAAGGCGCTGGCCCCAAAAACACTGTTGCATGGACGGAGTTTAGAAACAGCATGACCGCTACGCCGCTGGGGCGCGGAAGGGAACGAGCCGCGATGGCAGGAAACACTTGGGACCCCTTGCGGCTTACTGCCCAGCGATTGCAGGCACGAAGCCCCTGTAATCTGCTGCTACCCATGCCGCCACGAGCTTGTGAAAACGTAGCCGCCGCCGGACCCAATGGGCTGGGAGGCGAGCTGCGCCTGCTGCTGCCCTTGCTGCTGCTGCTGCTGCTGCTGCTGTGGCTCCTGCTGCTGTGGGTGCTGCTCCTGCTGCTGCTGGGCCTGCTGTGGCCGCATCTTGCCGCGACCGCCGTTGAGCACTGGCTCCAGCTCCAGCGCCTGGAAGGGGCTGGAGTGGGGGTCGTAGTAGAAGCCACGCAGCTTCCCCGTGCGGCGGCAGAGGGCAAGGTAATAGAAGCCTGCGGGGGCAGGCAGGAGGTGCCGTGCGGACGTGGGCGCAGAGGGTCGCGCCCCGGACGAACGCGAGCGCAACGCGGGGTGGCGTGGACCCCCGCGCGAGCATGCACCGCCTCCGCATCAACGGCCGCATGCCGCTGTGCCCGCAGAGGCCTGCGCCGCCATGCGCGCGACGAGGCGGCTGGGGGCAGGCAAGGCCGAGGCCGCGACTGACCTGCTATGGTGAGGCCGACGTCCTGGCCCGTGCCCACGAAGAACTGCTCCTTCCAGCGCATATAGATCCAGGGGTGCCGCTCCAGCGCGCCGCTGCGGCCGCCCTGGCGCACCACGTCAGGCCTGACATGGGACCACACGGGTGTGTGTGTGTGCATGTGTGTGTGGGTAAGAGCGTATGTGCGTGCGTGTGTGTGTGTGTGTGTGTGTGTGTGTGTGTGTGAGAGAGAGAGAGAGAGAAAGAGAGAGAGAGGGGAGCTCGCATGTGCATGACATCTGGGCGTGGGACGGGGCGCAGGCGCATGAATACCGTATGCAGATACATGCGCATGAGTGCGCGCCAGGCGAGCACAGACAGGGCCCAGATCGGCGGCTGCGAGCGCACCGCCGCGCACCTGCACCCGCCCAGATCACATGACTTGGCCCCAACCAGCCCAACCCGCCCGCCTACCTGAGCTGCGCAAACCCCTCGAACCGGCCCCAGTGCTTGAGGTCCGTCTCTCGCCCGGGCACGCTGCCGCCGCCCGCAAAGCCGGCCGACCCGGCGGTGAAGAACGTGTGGCGGCGGTCGTCCAATATGTGGCCCTCCCACCACGTCACCACAGGCGCGGCGCCGGCCCCCGGCACGTTGAGCGCCTGCATGGTGCCGCACACTGCACCGGTGTCGTGGTTGACACCCTGCAGAGGGGGCCGGGTGGCACGCGGGCCGGGGGTCAGCCGAGGGCGGCGCGGAGCGCCCTGGGGCAGATCGGCGGGCTGATCGGCGCGACTGGGGGCGCGGCGGTGTCGCAGGCGAGTAGCGGCCAGCACGCCGCAGCCGCACAAGGAGAGTAGTTGCTACGGCGCCATGGTATGCAGGACGGCCGCCATGCCTGCCTTGGATGCGAGGTAGTCACCCCTGCACTGCTCTTGGTCAACACGGACAGGCGCAGTGTGACGCGCCCGCCCACCCGCGCCCGCGCCCTGCACCCCGCCCCACCTCCACAATGACATCTACAGCCCAGTCGTCCTGCGGCCGCGACACCGCCCGCGACTGGCTGGACAGCCGCTGGACGCCGGCGAAGCGCGCGCCCGGCCGTAGGAAACTGCACGGCTGCGGCGCCCGCAGCGATGACGGGTCGAGCGCAGGGGCGGCTGAAGCGGCGGGCGCGGCGCCAGTCGCTGCCGGCGCCGCCGCTCCCGCCATCCCCCCCAACGCCGCGATGCCGCTGCCGGTCTGCATCCTAGCCGTCCGCCGCCGCGGAAGCGCAGCCCGCAGCCTGCCGCCCGCCGCGCGCATGCTGCGCCACGTCAGCATAGCGCTGAGGTCGCCTGCCGACCCGCCGTCCATGTCCTCTTCCTCCTCCTCCTCCTCGGTCTCCTCGTCAGCATCTATGAGTCCCGGGCAGTCCTCATCATCACCCTCCATATCATCTACCGCGCCGCCGCCGCCGCGCGCCCCAAGCCCCCTGAAAGAGAAGAGCGCATCCAGCTCGCCCGCCAATGGCCACGCCGGCGCCGCCCGCACCGCGCCGCCGCCGCCCGGCCGGCTTCGCGCGGCGGGCGCCGCAGCGGTGGCGGCTGGTGGCGGCGGCCC